AGAGAGAGAGAGAGAAAGAAAGCGAGGGACAGACAAACAGAGAGTGAGACAGACGGACAAAGTAGCCGCTTTACGCATCTCAAGACAATACTATTAAATCATACAAATCTTCGCCCTTTTGCGTTACGAGCTAGTATTATTTTGTATCAGCTTGAAACACAAAACACTTGTCGTGACCTTTCATTTCTCAGCCTTCAATACAAACGAACGAACAAACTTACAATCAGATGAGTGAACAGAAACCCGAAGACAAAAACGACACAAATGAAGAGAGAAAAAACAGAGAGAAAAATTCCGCCCTAACCTACTTTCAACCAGAATTATTGCTGGAGACAACAATGAAAACGCCAGCGAGTTGTACACCTTTGAGTGTAATTTAAGGCTAACTGTCCGTTTTTTAACATGTATTTATAAGCGAAATCCGTGTCTTGGCTGTGGTCTGGGAGCGAACTCGGTCATAAAATAGGTTAATGAAATATTGAGAGACGACGGCTATTGGATGGGCAGCGACTTTGATTATCCTTACAACCCGCTAACGTTAAGTAAAAACATCTCCCCTCCCCCTCCCCCCTTTGCGCTCTTTCCAAAAAGAAAAAAATCAAATTAAAAAAAAATCACGTAAAAACCAAAACTAAAACAAACAAACAATCAAATACAAACCCCCCCCCCCAAAAAAAAACAAGGAATCAAAAGAGGACGCCATGTTATTGTGACCTGCGCAGTGATCTTAATTTGTAAACATTAATTGTACTGTATATTCGCTGTTTCCTGTGCACTCGGAGTTTCTTTCCTTTAATGCAAACCATAATACTATTCTGGGCAAGACAACCCAGAAAAAAGACGAATTGTGTGTAATAGAATGTCAGACACCGAAATAATGTACTCTCCTGAAGCATATTGGAGCGTTGGGTCTACTTCAGCCCCCCCCCCCCCCAACCCCCAAATCGTCTTTTCCAATTCAGTTAATTAATTCTCTTTCACTTTATTTTCAGCGCATAACGTCACGGCTAGCCCCACGTAGGCCCAACAGAAAGCGTAGATGTCAAAATAAGTTCTCATTGATGGGCTTGGCATAAGAATACAAATTGTAATAGCCTTTTATTACTTTTGCGCCAAAAACAGAAACTGAAATGACCCACAGTCTAGTCTGTTTAATAATGGAGAGGAGATAATATTAATAACAACACTGAAATAAAAAGACGAAACACTGGCATATATATCCACTAACCATCCATATCGCCACCTACCTACCCACCTTCTTCCCTCCCTCCCTCCCTACCTATCTATCTATGTATCTAATTTTTCTTTCATCCTTTCTCATTCTCTCTCCTCCCCCCCCCCCT